TGCTTTTGTCTGTTCGGCAGCCTGTTGCTCAGGGGAGGGGGCAGCCTGTTGCTGGCAGCGGGCGTGGGGAGGCACTTTTCCTCTGCCCGGCAGCTCTGCGGGACCCCAGTCGGAGCTGGCCCGAGGAGGAGGAGGCTCCTAGGACCCAGGTGAGCGAGCCCCGGGAATGCTGCTGCGCATGTGCGGGAGTTGCCTCACCCCGTTCGTATCTAGGGATCCGACGTAAGTCGGATCCACGTAAGTCGGGGACTGCCTGTATAATACATTTTGGGTGATTTGAAAAGGGATGATTATAAAAAGCTACCAAAAGGCAAAGCTCGTTCTCTTTATAAATATAATCAACTTGACTTATTGAAACTTCTTAGGGTGTTAATAAGCTTTGTGAATTTTTTTAAGATAATACTTATTCAGCTGGATCCATAAGTCTTATGTGGGAAAAAAAGATCTCAAGAATACTGCATTTAGATATTACAGAAGGATGTGTTTAAAGGTTAAAAATATTTTATTTACACTTTTCTTATACACACTTTGTACATTTTTTCAGTTTAAAAACAGAACAGGGCACATATGCATGTCTGAACATATTGTATCCATAGCTAGGAAAAGTTACCTTCTGTCAAAAACCAAAAGCTTTTTTAAATAGTTATAAAAGGCAAACCTTAAATTATTCTAAGAATTTTATAGCAGCTTTGGGTTGGATATTAGACAATTAACCAATAATGTACATTAAACTATTTTTAATAGGTAGAATACTTCCAATTGCTACAGCACACACAGAACAACTAGAAAATAACTTTTCCCATCAACTTATTGGAAACATTTTCAAAACACGGCCATCTCATACAGGACTGGAAAGTAATGGGACTACAGCAGAATTACATTCTTCAACCTATGAGAATTCATTTTTTAAAGCTCTGCAAAATACATAGGAAAAGAGATCAGATTGGGAAGTTTACTATTACCTCAATTTATTCCTATAACCTACAATAAATGCTGGTTAGGTGGGTTCACTGAGGAAATAAAACCTTCATGTAAAGTATAGGTAACATTGCAGTTCTATGTAACTTTCATTTTTTATGCTTACACCAGTCTCTTTCTCTCTATATCAGGAATATCACTTGCAAGTAGAAAGTGGTTTTCCCCCAGCTACCAATTCAATAAATATTTTTAATTTGATCTTTAAAACTTTTTTAAAAGCATGGAAATGTGACCTTAAATTTGGGAAGAGGGAAATTACAGGGAAGTTGTGCTCAGCAGTCTACATTTCTGCCACCCACGTAACAGTAGTATATTTTGCCAAGATTACAGATGCCATCAACATCATTTCTTTAGTTTTACTTCAAAACACAGTATGTACTCTGTTTTAACATTTTACATATGTTGAAACTATAGATTACTTAGCAACCCAAGAAAAATAAAATACAGAGGCCATAACAAAAGCAGGGTTTATTTTAAACATTTTCAGATTGTCTTACAAACATTAAAATCTCAAACTGTTGGTTATAAAACATGTTTTAAAGAGCTGACATTTTTCTTTTGTGTTTCCCTCTTTAGTCTTTCCACACTACTTGAGTGAGTGACAAAACATGCTTATAATAACTTCACAAAGTACTACATTAGAAAGAGGTGGAGGCAAAGCAAGTTTTCTATAAGGCCCCAATCCTTGCCAAGATTTTGGCATACACTTAACTGTACATGTAAATAGACTTACTTTTAAACAGTTGGCATAGCTTTCCATTTTATTTCAATGGACTACTCATCTATGTAAAGCTAAAAAGATGCCTATTTCTGAAGAACTGGAGCCCAATTCATACTTTCTTTGTCAAGAAAAAATTTCAGTAAAGACAAAACATTCCTGTAAATAACATCCCAATTTTAAAAATGTTTGATTTCTCTTCAGCTAGTCCTTTATGAAACAAAAGATATGAGGTGCAGAGCTTTGTGTTTTAGAAAAAGCAGCTAGTATCAGATTCTCAACCTAACTTTAATTTTGTGGAGAAAAGGTCATGTTGAGTTAAAGGATCAGCATGGTAAATATTGTTTTTTAACCTAATTTAATTTTATCCTTTGCTTCCCAAGTGTAAGATGAAGCTCCACCTCTGATGTTGATGATTATGTTATTAGTAAAAAGGCAGCATTTGCTGCTGTAGAAAGAAGGTCCCAAGAGCAAAACAGGACCGCAAGCTTCAGGGCCTAAAGGGTATCTCTGGTCAAGGATTTAAAAAAAACACCTCATAGCTGGCTCAGGTCACTTGACTTGGACTTATGGGGCTTAGGTTCTAGGACTGAAAAAAATGCTGTGTAGAATGGAAGGTCCTAGACCTCAGGCTTCATCCTGAACCCAGAAGTCTACACAACAATGTTTAGCCCCACAGCCTGAGTCCAAGTCAGCTGATCTGCATTAGCTTTTATTCCTGCGTGGACATACCCCACAAGTTAAAGTAACAAACATGAGGATTAAGAATTATTGACTTCTATATAGTGGCGAAAAGCAGGGATTCTGAATGTTCCAGTGGTATTAAGCATATGAAAGTGGATTACCACAGGTCTGTCAGTGAGTTTTAAATAATGGCAGACTCTTTTTGCAATATCAGTAATTGCTTCCCTCCAGCTGAATCTATATAGCCAGACTTTCAAAAGTGGTCAGAGCAACTAGTGCTAATAGCTTAATTTTGAAAATCTGGCCAATTACTTTGGTATTTAAATGGGAGCTGAATGCTTTTCAAATGAGCCTGAATTGGTAAGGTATTGAACACGTTGGGCTCCTAATGAGAACTCATGATGCTCAGCATGTTTCATGAAGTGGACAGTACACCTTACAGGTTCTGGCCCCTAATAAGGGAATAGCATTCCTCCTTGAACCAGGAAGAAAGTTGAGAGAGCCAGATAATCCAACATCAAACTTGTTTAAAATTGAGAAAAAGAGATTAGACTAAGTATGTCTGTCCTTTTTTACAATGTAAGTACTGTTGCTGTTTAAAACCAGATTATGTGTCAAGTTTAAAAAAGTAAAGAAAAGTAACGGGGAATACAAATGAGCAAATTTACTGTAAAGGGCTAGGTTTACCTTCTTCCTCATTAACTAGAGCAGTGTTTCTTAAACTTTTTAAGACCAAGGAACACCAAACAATTTTTGTATTAATGAGGAACACCAAGGATTTTTTTGTTGAGGGGAAAAAAAAAGGTGGGAGATGGGAGAGGGAAGGGTCAGGAGGGAAGTTATTGAGAAAAAAAGTTGCCTGCCCCTTTAAGGGCAGCCATTTTGAATTATGTTCTCCGCAGCACACCTCTGACTGCATTGTGGCACATTGGTGTGCCGTGGACCACAGTTTAAGAAACACTAAACTAGAGGCGCACTGAACTGGTAAAAAACCCCTAGAACAAACGTCAATCATATTCAAGAGATCTCAATGGTGATATGCAAGTCTGATTAGCTAGCATTAATTGTTTTGTTTGTTTAAACTGACTAATTATTGGAAGCATAGGTACTAAAGGCAAATGCACACAAAATGATTTAATGAAAAAGAAAACAATCCTCTGAGCTATATAAAAAATGCAAGATAAAGTGGATTAGTTGAATATTTGTTGATTGAGATAATGAGCATGATAGAAAATGTAAATTACAAAACATTCCCAGCCTCCTATACATTCTAAACCAGGCAAATGCAAATCATTCTCAATGTTTAAATGGTTACAGCCAACATATCAGCTGAAGCTGAAACCAACAGTTAGTTCAAGTTCAAATTTCACAAAATGACTAGTATTACAGGCCTTAAACAAGATTTTGAAAACTGGGTACCTAAAAGGGCTAAGAGGCACAGAAACCTTAACTAGCCTTGTTTTCAATAAGACCAAGCATCCCACATTCCCTTTGTCTTTTCTGATAGCTGCTGGGTGCTCAGCACTTAAAAATAGGTGCTGAAGTACAGAATTAGGAAAATAACTTTAGGCACCCATTTTTGTAAAATCTCTTTATCCCATTATACTTAAATCATGGAAGACCAAGTTTTCAGATCAACAATAGTTCCCCTAGCTCATCCCTAAATGCTCACTATTATTCACAATAGGCTTGTACAAGCCTACCTAGACAGCAGGACTACTACTCTTTGTTGCCCCTTTTACATAACATACCAAAAATAGGCTATTAACAAAGAGAGCAAAACAGGTGTAAAGTAAGATAACTTGTCTTGAATTCTGATTCTGCAATGAAATATACACACACAGAAGTATGCACCTGCGCAGGGCCCACTAAGGCCAAGGGTGCCCACATGGCTGCAGGAATCCATCTACATACAAGGCCATGATTTAGCCCAAAAAAGGTGTCATTCAGGTTACGAATGAAGAAAATTAAATTTTATTCTTGTAAATTGAGAATATAGGGAAATAATAAGCAAAGAATTACATTTAGCTACAAGCTGTGGTGAACACCAGAAGACTGAATGTTCTGGCTTAAACATGCTTCTTCATTCCAGCTACCGTGGTGTAAATGTTTTCATCTCATCAAATCTTACAATAATCAAATCTACTTTGCTAAATTATTGCTAATTAAAAAAACTGCAATATAATTCCATGTCCTCCCATTTCTCTTAATCCAGAACTTGAAAGAACACTACTAAAAGACAAAAAAGATACCATTAAATGTGAGCATGGTGCATTTCACAAAACATTTTAATATTTGTTATTCATTTCTAATTTTGTTTAGCCAAACAAACTTCTTACCAGTTATCACAGCAAATTTAGGGTGTATTTGGTCCCTTATAAGTGCATTCTTTTGAACTCCCTGAGTACTGTACATTCCTTTTCTACAGTGACTTCTGGTTGGGAGGTGCTGAAAGAGAAATGGATTCTCAGCCATTACTATGTATCTTGTAAAAATCTAATGCTGCAGAGTTTCATGTAAGCAGATGATTTTACAAGCTATGCAGATTTTACAGTTTTTCTCAGCAGTTTGTCCCTGCGTATTTGAGCTCAGCATTAGCCTCGAATTTTAGAGGGACAATGTTTTTCCTCTTGACTGCATTAGAGGCTAATGTCACACTAGTGTGAAAAAACTAGGATTTTAATGCTTTATTTTTATAATTATATCTATCTTGAGGAATAGTCTCACCAATCTACAGTCAGTAAAAGTCAACAAGTTAACAAAGTGCTCAAACATGGTGCAGTTATTCAAGCCCTCTTGGATCACAGGTCTTATTTCAGGAAGTATGAGGTCAGTAGCTATAGTTTTGTAGGTTTGTATTTTAAAGGTTACAGAAATGGTAAACATTGTCCCCAACTGCCTAACCCCACATTTTCAGAAGACAGCAGTTCCTATTAGTTGATGCTTTAAAAATTATTAGATTACATCACTTCAACACAACTACAAGCGATGCCATTATTAAATAATAGTATATCCAGGTCTGACAAAAAAGCCGCATGTTCCTGCAGTGTTCATGCTTGCTTACTGACATTTCTGATTTTTATTAAAAACAAGGCAACATATTCAAAGTGAAGGATTGTAACTGGGTAAGCTGTAGTTACTTTTTTAAAATAATATATAAAAATGTCAAACTGTTAACAGTTATGTTTTAATATAAACACTTCAAATATTACTGAATGAATCAGTGTATACCAAAGATAGGCTTGATACCAAACTAGGCCTCCAGTTACTTAAGAATTTTGTATTATTTAATTCAAGAAAGGATGCTACTATATCTAAAATTCAACAGATATGGCTGAATCTGTGCCCAAGTTAAAAATATATCCTAATTGCACATAAAAAGATGCATTATATAGATCTTACAGTGTTGTGTATATATTTTACTCACCAAACACAATGCAGACAATAGAAGGCAGCATAGAAACAAGTGTTTGAGTATAAAAATGCTTCATTGTCAATTTAATAGAAAATGTATAACTTGCATTTTTGGCAGACTTACTGATATTATTGTACAAATCCAGGGAAAAGCCATGCACAAAGATCAAGATAATTTTAAAATGTATGTACGGGGAAAAAACAAAGTGGACTGTAAGTACTGATAAATGGAGAAAATAAAAATATCTAACACAGCTTAAAGGAACAAAATGAAACCCTTGCACTTGAGTTTAAATCAGGTATTCTCCCAGTAAGGCTGCTGAATCCTTTCCTGACACTTAATGAAAATTAAAATGCAAAATATTTATTCTTCTGTCTCCCTTCTCTCCATCATATTCAACTGGTTCGAAGAAAGATGCTGCTGTTATGGTCACAGAATAAACTTATTGCATGAACATAAAAGGCCACAAAGGAAAAAAAGTAAACGCTGAAAAATATTTTTCTCCCCCTACCATTATAGCAATTATGTTTGTTTATTAAAAAAACAAAAACAAAACACAACCTTTACAATACCAGACCACAGATTTGGCATTTCTAATTAACGTAGTAGGTGCATTCCCTGTACATCCCATTTCTCTATGCATTTAATAGCTGTTTTACACACAAACCAATGTCTTTAAATTATTTAACTCTGCTTTGTTTTCTTGTCAAATTAGAGATAACTTTGTGTGTTTCATGGGGTTGAATGGTGCTTTTTTAGTTGCAACGTCTAACATGCTCCAGTACATACTCAGGAAAGTGCAGGCTGCAAACTTGTAAACCATCCAACTTGCAGGGCATTCTTGGGTATTCATCTTCTTTCCATTTGTTTTCCTCTGGATCAAAGGTGAGAATTGAATCACTGTAATGACCATTGTAACAAAGGCCTCCAAGAACCATTATCTGTTTGTCCAAAACAGCTACACCATGACCACTTCTTCCAATAGGCATAGAAGCTAGAATAGTCCACTGATCAGCATCTGGGTCATAAACCTCTGTAGAAGGACATCCTTGAGACTCAAAGGAGGCCCTCAAGATCACACAAACACCACCAAAAACATAAAGTTTACCATTATAGGAAATCATTTTGTGAAAGCATCTTGCATAATTCATTTTGCATTTGTTCTCCCAACAGTTAGTAACCACTTGTGTTCTCCTTGTTCGCTGTTCCACCGTCCCTTCTTTACTGGGGTCAAACACACACACTTGCTTAGAAGTGGAAGATGAAGTAATTCCACCAGTGATATACAACTTGTTACTGAGCACAGTTCCTTCATGTCCATATTTATTTACAGGATAAGGATCCACAAATTCCCACTTGTCTTCAGTGATATCGTACCGTTCAGTTGAGTAAAATGTTTCATCCCTTGTTCTCCCAGCCACAGCATAGATGTACCTCCCAATAACACCAACAGCAAACTCGGAACGTGGAACAGACATGTCTGCCATTCGCAACCAAGTGTTTTGTCTAGGATCATATCTAAATACTTTGGAGGAAGCATGAAACTCACCATCTGGCCCCAGTTCTTCCCCACCTAACAAGAATACAAAATTATTGACAATGGCAAGACAGTCTGGTCGTAAAGGTACTTGAGGGCCCTCTAGCTCCCACCAGACCCTTGGTTTGTGCAGAAGAAGAATTTTGCTATTTACCATGCTGTGTCCTATCATTCCTCTAAATACTGCAGTCTGGGGTTTGGCAGAACGAATACGGTTGGATTTCATTTCCATCAAAGGCTGTTGGTGAACACTATGAAAATAATTCATGGCTTGGTCAACTTCATGCCGCAGCTGCCGAGAGTATCGATAAAACTCTGATGTTTTTACCTATGGACACATTTAAAAAAAAATTAAAATATTGATAAAAATAACAGAGAGCCACCCAATTGCTCTAAGTCATTAAAGATAATGATTAATTTAATTCTGAGAAACCTGGTGGACAATTATGTTTACATACTAAAACAGATAAGCTACATAAAACTGTAATTAGCCAGCACATTATTTCTTCCCTAACGTATTACTGAGGTTGAGACAGAGGCCAAAGATTTCAAACCTACTTTCTAAATCCCATGACTATGTACCTAAATAAAAATGGGTTGATTTTAGCGATGTAGAAGCTTAACCAGTAAACATTAGGCTTACCGGAATGCTCACTTGGTAACCAGTTAACCCGACTGTCAGCCGTGTGGAGCCGGCTAGCAGGAACCCTGTCATATCAGAGCAGTAGGCAGGCCCACATGGCAGGCAGGTGGGACCCCAGTGGTGCCACAGTGGCCCCAGATCCCGGTCGTGGCAGCCCCACCCACAGCCGTCCCAGCGGCCCCTTGCTCCTAGCTCTAGCGGCCCTGGACCCCGCCATACCTCAGCCGTCCCAGGTTCCAGATTCTGACCACAGCTCCCAGCCCAGACCCAGTAATACTGCAGTGGCCCCGAGCCCCAGCTTCCGGCAGTGGTCCTGAGTCTTGGTCCCAGCTCCCAGCTGTAGCCCAGCCATGGCTCTGGATCTAGGCCCCAGCTGCGGCTCTGGCTCTTGGCACCAATCGTGGCATGGCCCCATCCCTGTCCGCAACACAGCCACGGCCCCAGCCAAGCTGCAGCAGACCCATCAGCAACAGTAAATAACCCATCAGCAACAGTAAGACCCCCCCCCCACTCTGGATGTCCTACCCTCACCAGCAGTTAACTGGTTAAGCAATGTAATTTTATTAGTTTAACTGGTTTACTGTTTTGATCAATATTTACATCCCTACTTGATTTTCAAAAATTCTGAGTGCCTTCAATCCCACTGACTTTGACTAGAGCTATGTCAGTACTGCTGAAAAAACCCATCCCACTTTTACTGAAGTGCCTAAGCACAGAAGATAAGCACCTAAATTTAAAAATTTAGTTCCTAGCATCCACTTCTTCTTACATAAGTAACTACAAGGCAGCACCAGGTGGCACTATACTTCCCATCAGACCAGAAAGGAAGAAAAATCAGTGTAAACATTGGATTGCATGATACAATGATTGCAACTGAAGTCAAACAAATATTCTATCTTGAGAATAATGTAAATGTTCATTGCATAAAGCAGGGTCTCATTATACTTTTGTTCGCTTTTATTACTAATTTCTCTCTTCCTTTCATTGTAAATAAAAAATGCCACTACAAGGATTGTTTTTCCAATCTTTTAGGTCTTTACAATATTAAATCACATTGATGTAGGTTTCAAGTTTCTGTATCACATACGTATGCATCAATTACCAATACTAAAGTATATGCACACAAATTTCTCTTTAAAATAGCAATATTACTTGCTTGCTTTTGTAAAGCACAGTCGGCTCTACAAATTAAAGAATTATAAAATGCTAAGTTTTTCTATTATTGTTATTTTATCAAAGAAAACAACCTATATTAAAGTTAAGATTGCAAAGTCAAGCACTGAAAAATTATAAAGTGCCAGAACTAAAGTTTCCTGTTCAAGACTAATTCACCCTCACTGTGAGCATGCATTATGATACAGTCTGTGATTTTATGATAACACTTTCTTTCTTTCCAGGGAAGACATTAATTCTGGAATTTGCAAAATGTTTGCATGTTTGACTTTGCAGCTGTAACAAAGTTCTTGTAACAGTTTTTCTGTGGGTGAGTGCCAATGATTTGTAAAGAAAACTGAAAAAAAAAATTCATAGGTTATCAGAAGGGTTAGAATCTTTATACCCACAGCATAGACTTCTAATACCTTCAACCATAGAGAAACTAGTAGAGATTAAGAAGTACCTCTACAGTCATTCGAAAAACATGACACATTTTGCTATGTTTTCATGGCTATTTGCTGACAGCAAAGGAACGTTGGAACTCAGGAAATCTTGATTCTATTCCTGGTTCTAGGGGAAGAGTATTCTAGCAGTTACAAACCCTACTGTCCTTCTTTATTTTGTCCTCTTTTGTTATATTCTTGGGCCCTCTGCTTTACCACCCTTACATAGCTTTGTTCCTGTCCTCCTTATTCCCATCTCTGCACAGCCTGCACCTTCATTTTCTTCTCTCTCCCACTGCATTTGAGCAGCTCAGTCTGGTTCCTCCATCTCCTTGTTGCTATCTACACATCAGCAGGGGTAGCCTTAAAAACATAAAGACAGTCATTCTCCCTGTTCTCAGTTTGAGTGCCTGTCACCATGGTGGCCCTCAAGTTGCTGGGAAGAAGAACTGTCGGAAAAGTCTGGCAACCCTGGAATGGATGTCAGTCACTCTGTGAGGATGGTTCATTTTCAATTTGGTCAGCACATAGAAGCTGTGTGGGAAAGAAGCATGTTTAGTGCTGATAATATTATAAGTACAATGCTGCCAACCTTTCACAAACTTCTATTGAGCACGTGCAAACATTTTTCAGAGGCCAAGCCTGAGTCAAATATAGGTAGATTTTTATGGGGCCTGCAAGAGGCACAACCCTTGCACGAGAATTACCCCTGGCGCAAGTTAAGTTCCTCCTCTCCAAAGTATGGAGGCTCAAGGCCTTCTTAATGGAATGGCTGTATTGTGTATTTTTATCTGATCACATTGTCGGAAATAGCTGAACTATTTTTATAGAAACATTTCAAACAAGTTTAGCCTGGAACCAATTTACAACGAGGAGAAAGATCTAGCAAAGTTATAAGCAACTAAAAAGCAAGATCTTACAATAGAATGTTAGGTAAACTCAACTATGAAGTGCTACTAAGCTCCAAATATAATATATATGAAACATTTAACACACACACATGATGGCTAGAGCCATGTGATAAATGCAGTTTCTCATGCACCTTTGCCATCTCTATCACTACTTCTATTGCAAAATCTGAGCAGATTCAGACAGAAATTCAAAAGTCATATGGCCATACAATTTTCTCTTTTCTTTCCCAAAATTATACTAATCCAAAGTCCAAAATGGGAAATTTTCAGCCTAACATCAAAGACAGATTTACAAGTTTAAGTTTCGATATCTTGAAAACTTCAGAGCCAGAAATGGGACACTTATTGCCATAAGGAGAGATTCTCAAAAAAAAGGAGAGATTCTCATCTTCTCATTGAGGGATATAGTACTTGTAAGGTCCCAAAATATCAGATTTAAAAGCTGTGACTTGTTTCTCCTATAAATTAATTTAGATTAGAATATTTTATAGGCATTTTAAGTGTATGTGTTTTAATTTTTCCTCTCCCTCTGCACTGTATACAATTAAACTCATTGTAACTGAGGTACCAATAAAAATAGTCCCAATTCAGTTTTAAAAATCTCTCCAAAACCATTTTTCAACAACGTACGTAGCATACAGAGAATATATTAGGTCAAGATAATTATTTTATCAGCACCTGATTAAGATGAACTCCAGAGGTCATCTGCAGATTCCTCATTGCTGAGTAATGTGGCCATTCCAATTTAATGAAACCTTTATAGCCACAGTACCATGTATACTTTTTTTACTTAAGAATATCTTCATATAACACATACATAAAACTACTGAACATGAATGTTATACCTATTGTGAAGAATTTAACTTAAAAATGCTAGCCAGAGAAATGGATAATACAAGTCCCAGATTTTTAAAGGTATGTAGATGTTGCTCTATTTAACAGACCAATTCTCATTTTCAAAAGAAGCCTAAGTCTCAGTGAAAGTACCTTAGTCACTAAATCTCTTTCAAAAATGAGATTTAGGTTCCTAAATCAATTAAGCAATGCAATACTAAAAGGAATAATGCCTAACTACCATATAATTTGGGTCACAGAAACTTTATAACAAATGTCTCCTTTTTTTGTTTCTATAGTAAATAATTATCTCCAAATTGCATGTTCAATCATCTTGTGAATACAGAATTACAGAATACAGAAGTTACAAAACCTACATTTATAAACTCAAGAATTTAATCCATGCTGATCTCACCTAACTCTATGAATTGTATTCCACCTACATACAAGATGAGATTTTATAAAAGCTCAAATACATCGAAGTTATACCCATCAAGAAAATGCTACAGATTTGTACAGAAGTACACAGAATAGCTATAATACTTCCCTCATTCTTTCAGTATTAAAACTGAATTAAAAAAATAATTTTTCATATAAAGTACTGACTGCTCGCAGTAATTCTAAATTAAACCCAAGAAACAAAATTTGATTATCAATGGATTTTGAACAAAATCAGTTATGCTGGAGTAGTTCTGGTATGAGAATTTGAAGAAAGGTGGAAGTAAGTTAATAACAATAGTAGGTATTATTATTATTGCATTTTAATAAACAGTGATATCAGATTATTCAATCCTTGGATACTTGTACGTTGATTAAAAAGACAAAAAATTAAAATTCCTAAGAATACTACTCTACCAGTTTAACAGCTTTAATTGAAGTCTTCTAATTACCTCTCTGACCTTCATTATTTCCTTTAAAACAACATCATAAAAATATTTGATGTTACCATAAAAGCATCAATTTGTTTAATAGCTTATGCACAAGGTCTGTGTTACAGAAAATGCAGCTTCCTCCAATTCATCTAAACAAGAGGCAGCATTTTGAAAACAGTTTGGATTGATGATGTAAAACAGCATTCAGTGACACTAGCTTCCTCTGAAGATGATAGTAGATGTATATCATTATAGTGCTACTTTTGATTAATAAACAAAAGAAAGGAACATTTGGAAAAAATTGAGTACCAGAAATAAAACAGAAAAAGGAAGACCCTGCAGGATCAATGCACATGGATAAAAGCAGCAAAGCAAAGACTGACAAAAATGAAACCAGACAAAGATGAATAGGAAAAACTTAAACAACAAATAGTCTAGTAGCACCTTAAAGACTAACAAAACATGTAGAA